ATATGAAGTAATTTCACAGCAGTTGTAGTGAATAGCCATTTTATTTTTCAAAGTTGCTAAGAGTTCTTATAATGCTTGTAGATAATTAAAGCAGTACATTTTTAAACCAATGTTATCAGATATCAGATTATTTGAAGGCTTTTAACACATTTTAAATTTAAGTTGTGAATTCTTGTCTGGGACAAAGATGTTTTCTGGCACAGAGCAAGTTTAAAGTTAAAAAAAAAAAACGAAAATGTTGTATAAATCGTTTTTTGTTTTTTTCACACACAAATCCTTGAAAAATAATGTTTCACCACAGAAATGAAACTAGTGTGTAAGGTTTTTTTTCTTTTTAGCTGTTAAGACATGATTTGTCCCAATTCCTAAGAATGATACATTTATATATTTATACGCCAGTATGCATAATATACTTTGTACAGTCTTTTAACTGCCAAATTTTTAGCTATGAAAATGTACGTACATATAAAGAACCTCCACATGTAAAAAAAAACCCCACTGGATTCAGACCAGGATGAAAAGTACTTTCTCTTCTAGTGTTCAGGATCTGCTGTACCGCTGCACCATATAATCTCAAACATAGCTGCTGCAGTGGTTAACTGTCTGATTCTAAAACTTCTTCCTCTGCTGCATCCGTGTTGAGATGATTTAATGGAAGACTGAGTCAGGCAAAGGAAAGCGTTTGGCTAATGAGCCATCTGGCAGCCATATTCTTTATTGACTTCATCCCAGTGAGGGTTGAAGTCACTGTCTCACCTAAATTTATGTCAGTGGCTCTCTAGCTGTCCTGTCATCTGGCATGCAGATCACTTAATGTCTTACAATAAATAAACTGTCCTGTAATATAAAGTTCTCATTGTGCACTTTTTAAAATTCACCTCCAAGTAACTACTATGTGATTAGAAATATTTGCCACTTATACTGGTTTGTGTTAAGATGTGCAGCAGATGGCTTCAGTACAAACATGGATCTTAATTACTTGTCATCTCTCTGCTACTGTCTCTAATAAAGGGTAAAAATGTCCCAAACAGTGGCACTGCCAGTCTCCTCTTTGCGTGTTTAAACTGAAGTTGGTGTCATTACTCGAGTCTTGAATTTCCATCAGGGCTCTCACACTGAGTCACATTGACGTAGAGCAGACCTGAGTTGACATGCCCCAGTTATCCACTTTCAGAAGGACATCTTACTGTCTCTAAGCGTAAACAGGAAACAGGAAACTTAAATGAAGAAATTGCAGTCATGCCACCAGAATTGTCAACTGAGGGGAGCGACACATGAGCCTAATTGATGGATTCTGCGTGGCTTGTTGGGGGGGGGGGGTAAATTCAGCTGTGTGTCAGTCACACGCTGTCCTGACCACACACCCATCAGCATGTACAAGCCTCTGATAAAGACAAACTGTCCTGCGTATGCTGAAAGCCCCCCACAAAGACACTTTATCCAGAGACAAAGACAGATTATATATTGTTTGCAGGAGGACTGGCTGGCTGCTGGATGCTGTAATGCCAACAACACTTCTGGGCATTGCTGGGAAGTGTACTGATTAGCAGGGATTACTGTTTGAGCCAAATTTGGAGGCAGACCTGATCCTCAGGGGGGAATGATGGATCCAGGGGGCGGATCTCAGCCTCTGCCTCAATGATATGGTGACAAATGTTAGGACGAGGAGGATGAGACACACGGGAAAGAAACCTTTTTAGAAGTGGAGCAAAGAGACGGGCAGGAGGTGGATGGGGGTTTGAGACATTTTGAGTGGATGAGAAGGAGCAAGCTGTAGCAGGTGATGGAGGGCAGCAGCTTGGTTTTATGTGTCCTGTAAGCCCAGAGAGCTTTTCAGACATTTACTGCTTATGCAGAAACATGCGAGGGATGCTGTTCCTGATACTTAGCACCCAGCCATCCAGTGTGGTTGATAAGTAAATGACTCAAGTCCCAACCACGGTGCAATTTCATCCATTTCATTTTATCTGCAGCTTGAGCACACCAGCAGTTAGCGGAATTGATTTGGGTGTCTACAGTTTCCAGTCTGTTGTACTTCAGTGTTTCTAGGTGCACTGTTTGACCACCTCAGTCAGATGAAAGCGATGACATCTTTCTGCTGCTTCTTTGTGCATGACAGGAGGGAACACGTGTCAGGGTTCATCCAAGTTTCTCGTCACCATAACTATTTTTAGAGCTGCTGGATGTAGGGTCTTCCTCTTTTGCCTCTCTCTGCCCAGATACTGTACTTTTCCTTTTGTCCACAGAAACTTTCTGCTACTGGCAATGAAGTTATTTTTCACTTTAATAACCACATAGATGGTGGACTTGTGAGTTTAGTGTTGTTTTGTGATTGAATTTCAAATATTTTATCATGGTAATATCATTGGAAACACTGATGTCAATTTATTTATTTGTATTTTTATCAGAAAAGGCAAAGGGTCCAATAAGATGGTAAAATTCATTTTTGTTGTTGTTACTGTGGCTGCAACTACCAATTATTTCAGATGAATCCTCTAGTCTCTAAGATATTAGAAAATAGTAAAACAAATAGCTTTTTTTAATTTTTTAGCGCTCACATTGATGTCTTAAATTTGCTTGTTTTGTCTGATCCAGAGACCAAAACTAAAAGTTATTTAATCTTTTATTTATATGGGAAAAGAAAGCAGCAAATTGTCACAATTCAAAAGCTGAAACTAGTGAAAGTTTAGCATTTTTGCTTCAAAATTGACTGAAACAATAAATTGATTGTCAAAGTTTAGCATTTTTGCTTCAAAATTGACTGAAACAATAAATTGATTGTCAAAATAGTTGAGGATTAATTTCCTGTCATCAAACATTTATATCAAGTTTTCTATCAAGACAGATAGATAGATAGATAGATAGATAGATAGATAGAGTTTTTTGTTTTTGTCATCAGTTTGGAGCTAATTTTAGCTCCTTCACTTTTGTCAGCTTTGACTCTCAGTGGCTGCTCTATTTAGACCTGTCAGTATGAACGTATATGACCCCACTTCGAAGACGCAAACGGGAAGTGTATTTTACACAGTTTGTACACTGGTAATGCTAGCTAATGTTGTCAAGTGGATGATTTACTTATTGAGGTATCCAGTTGTCACTTCCTGGTATATCAAATTTACCAGCATATGCAACAGCTCAGTAAAGCAAAACAGAAGACAGATGATGATAGGAATGGGAATCTGGAACAAATTGTCTGATCCATCAGAATTGTATGGCTCCAAGTTTTCAGTTCCTTTTATTGATGCCGGTGTTTTTCTGAAAGCTGAGCACTGAAAAACAATGAGGTCAAACTCCTGCATGGAAAGTTGCAATGAGGACTATAGCGGAAATGAAGAAACGGTCCAAAGCGTGGCTTCATTTTACGAATAAAGATGACAGCAGTGCCGCTTGTAATGACTGTTAAAGTAAGTAGAGATTGGTATTTTAAGTAACTTCCATTTTCAAGTGCTTGCATTAAATTATTACAGAGTATATGTACTCGCCAGAAACAATCTAACATGAGAGTGGGAATGTCAATTGGCCAACGACAGAAAACAATTGATATTTGACATTTGTTTATTGAACAACCAGGCTTCAGTTAGCCTATCAAACCATAAATTCAAATATAACATAAGAATAATCAGCAAACTTTCTGTTGCTGCCATTACATAGGTTAGACACAGCACTGGAGCTGGACACAGCGCTGCTTTCCTCCTGGGCAGTTCAACATTTGCCCAGTTAACACAAGCTAGCATAGCAGCACTGGCTAACATCTGTCACTGAGCCATTTAAAAGACCCACAGACTCACTCCAAGACCAGAACGGCTAGAGTCTGTAGTTAAACCCGTTAGCAACCGTTAGTAACACTAGCCACGTGATGCTTACAGTCAGTCCGGTCACTATGTGTGTTTCTGTGTGGGCAGACTCTCAGCATCTGTTCCCCCATGCAGACCTCACACTTGCGCAGCAACATTTAAAGGAGAAGTCCGGTATTTTGCACTTTGAGCCCCATTTCTGGGTTGTTTATGATGAAATAGAGGGGCTAAGACCAAAATTTTGACGATTGCTCCGTTTTGGAGAATTTGGCTTTCCCCTGCCTGGCTTAACAATGCTGTCTATGGTCATGTGTAAATCTGTCCTTAAACCACCCTAAATGTTTGTTTTCAAAGCTATGAAACTCACCGAGTGGTCAGTGGTGTTCGTTGACGTTCTGACATCGTAGCAAACTGTGGTTTTCATGATGATTTATTTGACATTTTGTCTAATCCATTGGTTTTCTATAGGAAGCCTCATTGTCCGTTAGTAGTAATCCGCCACCGGAAACAGAAAGGTGGTTGTTTACGACAAGGTTGTAGTCATTGTAGTCTTTTAGCTCAGCGAAAGTGCCGGCTCGACAGTGCTGTGTGCACTCCTGGAGGAAGGGAAGTCGATGACATCTCCTCTTCGCAGAGAATTCTCTCGCAGTCGCTGACCGCACAAAACTTGCCCATTATTACTGGCTTGTAAACAACCTTTGCAGTACAATGCCTTTGAACACAACGCCAACCTTCTTCTTCTTCTGCTTCTATTCTGTGTCCCATTACATTGCAATGGTTTCCTGTCTGTTGGTGACACCCACGTAAAGGAGCATTATGGCCATCAAGTGGGCTGAAGTGTTTAACACTTCAGGGTCAAACAAACGATCAAGCTGAAGTTTACAGCAGCTGAAAAAATAGTTCCACAATCGAGATGAATAGCGAAAGCACTGTTAAGCCAGGCAGGGGAAAGCCAAATTCTCCGAAAATGAGCAATTGTCAAATTTTTGGTCTTAACCACTCTATTTCATCATAAACATAAAGTTTAGAAATGGGGCTCAAAGTGCAAAATACCGGACTTCTCCTTTAACTGTACATTGAACAGATACTCACATCCAAATTAGGTGCTAGGGGCCTCATGCAGAGTGGAAACACCAGCATTATAGTGTCGTTGAGCAGTGTCACTGCTTCCCAGAGTGTGAATATCCCATGGTATAATAATATATAATAATGCTAAAAACCTGTTAAGGACTCCTTTTCCCCAATGAAAATTGATCAAGGATCAAAAAGGGAACTGATAAAGAATCAGATCGATGAGCAGAATCAGTAAGATTTTATTGATACCAATGACATTAATACCCATCCCTCGATGATGGAGGAGACAGAAGATGAACATGTCTGACTTGTCTTGTTTTTCAGACCGTCCCAGGATCCGCTTGCCCCGCGCTCTCAGATCCCGCTATGTCAAACAGGTCGGAGAGCAGGTCAACGTGGTCATCCCCTTTCTTGTAAGCCAGCACACACACACACCTTCTGTATAGTCTGTTAATAACATGACATCACACTTGAATCTTCTCGTCGTCTTATCTCTTTTTCCAACTCCTTAGGGAAAGCCCAAACCTGAGGTGTCCTGGCTTAAGGATGGTCAGCCGTTGGATACAAAGAGGGTCAACATCAGGAACAGTGACAAGGACAGCATCCTGTTTATACGCACCGCCGAGAGGGAGGACTCTGGTGTTTACGAGATGACGGTTAAAGTAGACAGCTTTGAAGACAAAGCCAACATCACCCTCCAGATTGTGGGTGAGTCACACATGCTTACGTTTACACACACACACACACACACACACACACACACACACAACACACATGGACGCACATGTACGTGTGTGTGTGTGAGAGGTGTGAATAGGGACTTATTTCTGGCCTCCCTGTTGAGTCTGCTCAGCAGGTTGTGCAGTTGACTTGTTGGTTCTGCGACTTCGTGACTTGCTCCAGTAGACATTCAAAGCACTAGCCAACATACATCACCCCTCTAACAATGATGTATATGTCTGACCCTGCTGTCAGCTGCTGCTGTTAAAGTGTGGGGCCTCATGATGGAGGCATTAACATACAAGTACATGGTTAGCTTTTGATCTTGGGAGCAGACACCATTCATGCTTTCAGGAACGCACCAGTTATTATTTTATAAATACTTACAGTAATGTGTCTCCTCAGAGCGGCCTGGCTGTCCTACCAGTGTGAAGCTGGTTGACACCTGGGGCTTCAACGCTGCTCTGGAATGGACCCCTCCCAAGGATAATGGCAACACGGAGATCACTGGATACACCATCCAGAAGGCCGACAAGAAGACCGGGGTATGGACGATCATATTGTCAGACTGTGTGAAGTTGCAGACATAAACCAGATTCATACTCAGTGTAAGAGTCAGTGGGAATCCCGCCATAGATGCCTTTGATGTAGATTTTGATTTATAATAATTTATCAGTGTCTGAATTTTCCGGGTAATGCTGATGGTGCGACCTCAACACTAGACAGATGTGTCATACGTGATCAGGCCTGTTGCCTGTTATGTGGGAATGTTGCGCCTTTATTCCGAGTGTGTTCTCACCTTGAAGTCAGCAGCGGAGGTAGTGACAGCGCTGACTCAACCACTGGGAGATTTAAAAAGCAGCTAGTAGCAGTTCTGCTACTGGGGATAGAAACTGCAAAGATCTTACACTGATACTATTTGGTAACTGGGGACAGTGACCGCGCTGTCCTCTTCCTGTTTTGGTTGCACATTAGTTGAGGCACTTCCTTTGAGCTGTAAAATTGAGTCGGAAGATCATACTCAGAATTATAGGGAAGCAGTCTTAATGCTAATGGTGTCATTTTTCTATAACCATTACATTGTGCATTAACATTTACTACATAATCATAACGTAAAGCAAGAACACTGGTCTGTTTCTACTTAAAGTGTAGAAAATTTACCTGAACTGGTAACAATACTGGGAACGATTTAACTTACATATACATACTGTGAGATTAGACTTGGACGTTGATCTGCATTTAACTTGATTTTAACATAAATTCCTCCCTAAGCCCTTTTTTCCTCTCAAAATATGGTTGAAATGGTCTTTAATCAGATGATCTGGATTAGGCTTAGTCTGATGTACACAAGTATTTTTTCTTGTCTTTATTTTTTTTTAACATATTCTTTTCTATGTGTTTTGGCCTCTTGTCCACACGCAAACTGTGTTTTAGGTCACTGAAAACAAACTTTTTGTGAAACTCCTTCTAGGGTAAGGATGTTCATATACTCTGTTTTCAGTGTTGACATGCAGACAGGAAACACTGAGGGCCGAATTCACAAAGAATGAACTGAACACCTTGAATTGCACTTCACTTGCACCCGCAGTTTGCTCCGTCTTAACATCCTATTCACAAGGGATATTGCGCTAATGATATACCAGCGCGAACATGCCCACAAAGTTTGGCAGCTGAGTGCAGTTTGCCTCTGATTTGCCCCTAGTTGCAATAAGTCACACATGGCAAAGTATAAATGCTGGCTTTGTTCCAAGAACACCGTGGCAGAACAATGGCAGACTTTGTTTGGCAAAGTACTGAATACTGTATACCCTCATGTAGTGATGTCTGCTGGTGAGTCAGTCTAACAGTGTCTGATGGGTTGAGGCTGTGGATTTGACCAAGTTTGACCACTTTATCACTATTCCCTCTCACTTGTAGCTGTTTTTTTGTTATCTTTTGAATTTAATATGAATTATGGAACCGTTTTTGTTCATGTTTGTTTCTCCCGTTTCGTAAAATAAATTACTGAAAGTTGCTTTTGAAGTGCGTGACAGAAGTGCGTTTTGAGAATGACCGCAGACTGTCACCTGTTCAACGCATCAATATCTTCGGATGCCTTTAAAGTAATAATGATTATAATAATGTCAAAATATTATTTACAGACTGATTTAACAGACGATCACTGCTGCTATGATCACTGGAAAGTCTGGGTGAGAGGCTTCCACAGAGGAGCGCCCAGTTTGCACCAGCTTTCTAAAGACGTTATTTACTTCACTCAAACTGCGTGTGGCTATTAGTTCTGGTGTTAGTGAATTAGACGTTGTTTATCAATGAGGCTCATTTGCATAGAAAGGTAAAAGAAAGAAAGGTAATATATGCATATTACCTCATTTCAATACATGCAAATAACACCGGAGCACCGAGACACAATCTGCTTGGCAGCGCAGTTAGTGGAGCATTTCAACCTCTGCGCGTGCTTTGTGAATTAGCTTGCAACACATGTGTCATAACTTCCTTTTTGTGAGGCATCACAAACAAAATGACAATTCATGCAGTGACGGATGTCATCAAAATTATGTTGATTCTGACCTCTGAGTTGTTTTTATTATTTATTCTTTGGGGGGGGGGGGCAAAGGAGGAAAAGCCCTGTTTCCGAAAATACCCATGTACGTGTGAACTAGGCTTTAAATTGCTGCTTCTCTTTTCCCTGGGGTTTACTTAACAGTCTATCAAATTGCTAATAGGTCTTTTTAAAGTTGTGACTCATGGTCCTGAGAGGGATCTGGCAGAGATATTAGATGGTAGTGCTGCTAGGGAGCACTATAATACAGCCCATGCTACATTCGTAGGCAAGGATATACATATTGTATCACGCTCTCTCTGTCTTTCTTTTGTACATGATGGTGCAGTGAGTACAGACAATTATACAGTCATGATGGGATAGGGAGTCCTCAGCAGATGTCTGAAGTGGACAGGCAGAAAGAGAGAGAAGAAATAGGTTCAAGAAAAAAAGAGGCAGTGAAAGGATCAGGAGAATGGATTGGGTAACGTTAGGTCACAGTGGCTGTAAAATGGATCTAACTGCAAACCTGAAGATATCAGGCTAATGAAGGGTCGGTTGGTAGCCCACTGGTAATAACCAATCCATAAGGTCACATCATAGTATAGTTATCTATCTGTCTGTTTCTCCACCTGCAGGTGTGGTTCTCTGTGCTGGAGCACTACCACAGGCTCACTGCCACCGTCACAGACCTCATCATGGGCAACTCGTACTCCTTCAGAGTGTTCGCTGAGAACAAAGTGGGCATCAGTGAGAAAGCGGCCGTCACCAAGGGGGTGGCCCACATCCAGAAGACAGGTGACCTTCTTGATTCATCTCTTTATTCATCGAAGGTCAGTTTGTTGATATGATGAACAGTGCAGAGGCAGGGCTGCAGCACAAGTGGGTCCTTATAGATTAATGAGCTGCTGTAAGTGTGTGAGAGTCTTGAGTGTGTGTTTGGGTGTGTTTTAAAGTGAAGACTTAAGGAGTGGAAATGGCCTTGGCACTGCTTTAATCAAAAGTGGGCTGCTCTCTTGGCGAGTGCTCGGCTACTGCTGAAATATCTTTTAAGAGGCCCTGACATCATCAAGACAACTGGCAGAGCAAATGTTGCCCTTCCTGTGAGATTCAATTCAACGGCCAGCGATTGATATCTTATTGTAGTAGCTTACTGAGCTCTTCCAGACATTTAAATGAAAAACAGTCTATTATTTTTAACAAAAAGAATGAAAATATACTTCCTGTTGTTCACTGCAAAGTGCCACATTTCTCGTGTTCAGAGAGTTTTAGTGTGTTTTTGTGTAGCTTGTGCAGAATAAAGCTGGTGAGCAGGCATCTGACACATTGAGGCAGTGATACTCAACTTGCCAGTGGGCTGAATCTAGGTCCTGATAGGGTGCTGAAGGCCCCCAAAGAAATTTTCTAATTCATAATAAAATCAGTTATTGACACAGGGAATTGTTTTTGTACTTCAACATACATAAGGTGCTAGAGTGCACAAAAAAGCATCAAAATAGAACAAGTGCTGTAGGAGGACCCACCGCATGCCTTAAATCTTAGAAACGCTGCCAAGACTGGCTTTTGGTCTCTTGTCATTTTGCAAAATGGCCCCCAGGCAAAGCAAGTTGAGTATCCCTGCGTTAAGGTGTTCTCACCCGTGCTAGGCTAGCGCAAAGGTCAGTACCATGTTTTTTTTGTTTGTTTGTTTGTTTTTTTGATAGGTTTCCAGCCAACTTTGTCCTTTTTTCTGAGTGTTTAATCTTAAAGATGGTGATAAGATTTTCACTTTGCATTAATGATATTCGATCGTTAATTATTGAATCAATATATTGATCCAGATCGATGGATTGTTACACCCCTAGTGTTTACACAGTATTTACCTGTACCTCCTTCCCTGCAGAGGATGTCATTTGGTGATGTAGTAGTAGCTATGTCTGACCATTTCAGTAACTTTCCAAAACCAACGATTTGACATTCACCCCCTCTTCATGTCGTGATTAAACAGTGAGAAAGTAAGCAACTATTTCTGTTACTTTTTATGGGAACAATCAAGTACAACACTATAAATCCTTTTGGAGAGACGGTCTGTAAATGTTTGCCATCATTGCAGGTTTCAAATCATTATTGCACTTTTTATAGGCCGCCTTCTCATACTGCCTTCTAGTGTGGCTGTTTGGAAATAATTACCAACACGTGATTTGAAGGACCCATCGACGTGATGCATCCTCGTTAATCAGAGCCCCATGAAGTGAGGAGATAGGTTGAACTCCCCAAGGTCTAGATGCTGTTGGAGTAAAGCCGACACATGGAAAATTAAACCTCCCAGTTGAATCTCCTGTATCATTCTGAGGGACAGGGTGGTGATAAGGTGGTGGGTTGTGCAATCCTACCTCTGATAAAGAGAATGACAGGACACACAGTGATACTTAAAGAGCAGCATCTAAGGACTGATTGGTGTGAGGAATGTGTCGCCATGGTCACAGTCTGGAGGCCTGCACACACGCACGTCACACTTCACACAAAAACACCCAGGGAAGAGTGGTCTGGTTCTGTATTCTGAAAAATATAACATGACAGCACACGATGGTTGTGTTTGTGTTTGATGTGCCACCACTGATTTTCTATCTCCTTAAGTGCAGTCAGTTATTGTAATTTTATTTACAATGCAAGTCAACATTGAGATCTTATCATTGTACCATGTGTTCGCAGGTATTGTCTACAAGCCTCCTGAGTACCCAGAACACAACTTCAGCGAGGCCCCCAAGTTCACCACACCCCTCAGTGACCGCGCTGCCACTGTGGGATACACCACCAAGCTGCTGTGTTCTGTCCGCGGAAGCCCCAAGGTCAGACAGACACTCACACACACATTTACACACATACACTGCAGTTTGCATAGAAGCCCATGGATCATGATATAGTTTCATGTCATGCCCATGATCCCTACTTTACCCTTTTCAGGTTAACGTGCAGTTTGTGCTCATGTTTCCACCACCTATAGGGTGTCTTATCAGTGTATCGTGTTCAGGTTCACAATAGTGCTCCTATACTGCCTCATAGCTCATGCCAACAGTCAGCATTTTAACAACATGCTTGCTTAACAAAGCGAGGACAGGCTAGGGAAACACCTGGTAGAGGGTCCTTGTTTATGTTTGTGATATTTTTGACACTGAAGAAAGTTTAACTCTGTTTTCCTGACACAACATTTGTTCTATATTTTAACAGTCTTGGTCTTACTGGGGAACCTCAATAAATCATTTGAGCGTGTGTTATGGTGCTTCAAATGGGGTATTAATGTCACTGCTATAAAGATCCACTGTAGGAGCGGAGCAGGGCTTGCACTGGTATGTCTCTGTGAAGTTTCAGTATGTCTCTCACTGCTCTTTGCGGCTGCTGCTCTGGTTAAACATATCTTTACAGTTGTCTGGCTGACGCAGACGGCTTAGGTGACAGGCCATAGTGGAAATGCAGTTGATTATGTGTCCTGGCTGTCCTTGACTCCTCAACAAGGACAGCCGGTTCAACAGTCTGCACATGCCAGTGTAGGTGAAACAAAAAGCAAACAGGAACTGATGACTGAGCCTGAATTTGACGACACAAGCCAACACAAGGACTGAAAATAAGAAGTACTAGTAGATATTCATGTTTCAGGGACAGCTGAGAAGGTCCAGACAGCTCGGTGTGAGATTTTTTTATGTGTGAACAATTCCCAGAGCTGTAAGTGCAGTATGTTTATGGTTCATATAGTGAAACCCGGCTCATCCCAGGTGTCCAAGTGGAGTAGAACACCACTATATCTAAATAAGTCTTAAGTGCCTGTCCCTGTGGACTAGCAGGCAACCGAGTTGTAGCAGCTGTGTGAAAACACATCCACTAATCATCTGTAGAGGAAGGAGAGACATTCAATACCTCTTTCACACAGGAGAGCAACATACTTAATGTGTACTTAACCCAAGTTTGACCCCCTACATACAGGGTTTCAGGTATTCGGTAATGACTGGTCTTCAGTGTGCCATTTTGAGCTGAACTTCTGTTGGTTGCCCTATTAATATTATTCCTGTCGCTCGCTTTAGAAGCATTGTAATGGACGAGAAAAAAGCTAATTCGTGAAGCTGAAATAAGAAGTTATCTATACGGTCCCTCCTCATTTCACTATAGAAACTTAAATATGGTGGTGGCTGCCTGGAGGGAGATCGCCAAGGCTGAAAGTTTCTGGTAAATGACCATTGATTAGGGATGCACAATATTGGATTTTTTGCCAATATCCAATATGCCAATACATAACAACTCATTTGACTGATAACTGACACCGATATCGATATATTGACTTTTTTCCCCACCTAATTTTAGGTATCATCAACAAGTCTCTTCTGCAATGGAATTTACACCATATTATGCATGCATACTCTTGTCATGATGGCCCACCAGCAGATGGAGACATGAAATACTTTTCAGTGTATGTAATATTCATTCATTGTGCACATTAAAAAAAAGCATGTAGGTTGATTCTGACAGTTCAATTTAAAGCCATTATCGGCCGATAGAGATGACGTGCTGATATTATTGTGCGTCCCTACCAATCGATAACAGCAACCTACTTGGTATTGGCTGTATTGTTCGCTACTTTATTTTCAGTAAATATCAAAAAATGAAATGTGTTTTCTGTTTAAAAAGTACAAATGTAGACGATAGCAAGTAATCGCCCATCTTTTAAGTGGTTACATCTCCAGTGTGATCTGGAGCGCAAAGCTGCTAGAAACATAGGGTTGTACCAGACTCATAATTATGTCAGCTTAATTGGGATGTGGCTGTTTGATAACAATATCTAACTATTCGTTCTTTTGTTCCCATATAGACTTTATAAGTTTGAACGAGGTTTGGCAGGATGTACAGGGTGACCATGCTGTTGATGTAGTAGAGACCTGTCTCAAACTTGACAACAGAAACCTTGAACTGAAATCTTGCAGGACACATAGGGCTCTAGTTTCGCAGACCAGACGAGGTGGGGGCGCAGCGCACCTGCGCTTCGCCAACTGGGTATGGCCAGGCAGATTTTGCAAGTTTGGCACACCGTGCGCCTGGTGCAGCTATTCCTCTTTCCCACCTCCATCCCTCCTGCCTGCGCAAGTCGGAAAGAGGGAGGAGAGAAGGCGTGGAGTGGGTTTTACACACATCACACCAATCAAATGAGCCCCTCTCCTCTCCCTTAAATGCGCCGTGCGAAGGCGTAATGAGAGTTTACTCAATTCGCCATGGCAGAAGAGAGCAGCAGCGTCAGGCGGCCAAACTTCTCCCGGGAGGAAACTGATGTTTTGGTCCGGGAGGTCTGCTCTCAGTGTCCGAATATACGGAACTGCGAGCAGACCTCCACGGGCTGATGATGCAAAGGTAGCCTGGGAGGAGGTCACCACAATTGTAAATCATTGTTGCGTTTCTCTCGTGCGTGCGCGCGTGCGCTCTCTTTCTCTCTCGCAGTCTCACTCTGTTTCTTTTCTTTTGACTTTTCTAAGATGACAGATGCTGAATATATACTCCCTATCTGATGCTGTGGCTGTTTGTGGTTGGCTGAGAGAGATGTGAACTCATTAGTTTGCAGCTGTGTGTTGGGTTTCCATTACGCGTGCCAAACGTGCCAAACGGTGCCAATCCCCTTTGATCTGACATCACATGTGACGGGACAGTCGATATAGAGATAAATTTATGTGCTGATTGCAGATAGTTGCATTGAATAGTGTTTTTGTGGGTATTTATTGCATTGTTAATGTGCCTGATATTCTGGAAACCTGCCTGTGAGGTTTTGGTGACGTGTGCACACTGTACGCCGGTCAGCCAAACTTCGGCTTACACCGGCTGGGTTCCACCTGCCCTGACAGTAGATCTGGTTTCAGCTGGCGAGCTTTTAGTGCACCTTCGGTGAAGCCTTTTGGCATGAAACTGTCACTGCGCCAAGCTGGATCTGTCGACACCTCCCCCTACTGCGCCACCACACCCACCTCAGCGCACCTCGGTCTGCCAAACTACCAAACTGAGCACACCTCGGGTTGCGCTGCTCGAAAATAGCTCTGCGCAGGGTTCACCACCCTGCACTGCGCCAGGAAACTAGAGCCCATGGAGTACTTGCACCAATTTCTCCAAACAGAAACCCTGCATACATGTCAAACTGCTGTTAACTCCTCAGTGTCACCATTCACAGACACCTGGTTCTTCAACCATCACAACAATAAGCTACATAATTATATGTAATTACAAATTGAATTGCATAAATACAAATTCAATTTCATTTATCGCTCTCAAACACCGTCTCTTTCACCCACTCGTACATTATTTCACACTTGTGTGACAGGATGTGTTCGTTAATGAGCTGTGGCTCAGAGTCCAGAGCCTACTGGGGACTGCTGAGGGAGGTCCAGCAGAAAGGCATGTAGTGTGATGATACATTGTCCTGCTGTGCCTGATAAAGAGCTGTCACATCTAGAGGTGGAGGCTACATGGGTAGCTGTTAGAGGGAATGTGGAGGATAGATAAGCAGGGAAGACAAATAAGAGAAAATGATAAGAAGTTTAGCCTGTTGTCCTGTTGTGGCTAAGTGGAGATGCTGCTGTATCACAGAAGGTACTATTTTTGCCACCTGTCCAGACTGCAGCACTGTTATCACTATCAGTGGGACTGACTGTCCCTGTTACGTCCACACATGGATGTCCATAGACAGAAATATGATGGGACAGAAGAGAGGGAAAGGAAGATAAGATAGTAAGAGTAGGAGCGGTACATGGATGATTTTACATTGTCTTATATCTGTCTGTCAATTAAACAAGACAAGGGCTCTATTTTTGTGTTAGTGGTATTTCTATTAGAGATTCATCCTCTGGGGACCATGAATATTTTGTACCAGTAGTCCAAAACCAGTCTGCAATGCCAGGGATCAGCATGCCTGGAGCCCCGTCCCAGCCTGCCGCCAGGCACAGAAAGCACAGAGCCCTGAATCCTGTCCCTGTGGGTGGTAGACCCGCAGGGCAACAGCTCCATGTTATCTATTCAGGCTGAGCCTGAACAGGCCCCATGGCCCAAGGCCTGGACACCAGATGCTCGCTGGTGAGCTTCCCCCCAGGTCTGGCTCCGGGTGGGGCCCCAATATCCCCATACTGGGTGAGGTCCTCAAAGTGTGAATATGCCATTTCATGAAGGTCTTCTAGAATTACTCTTAGTCTGGCCCCTCCCCTGGGACCACTTTGCCTTGGGAGACCTTACCAGGGGCTATCAGCCCCAAGACAACACAGCTCTCAGGTTCACAGTGACACACAAATCGTGTTAAGGTGGCAATTCTCAGAAGAGTGTACCAATAGTTGTTGAGAGAGTTTAGTACAGACCAAAGTGCTGGACAGACCAACTGACCTACATTACCACCCACAGAGAAGTGCCGCTGGCTGAGCTAAAAATGCATTACAAATCAAAATCCTTCTTTTTTTTTTTTTTTTTTTTTTTTTGATGCACTGATCAAAACTAGGATTTCATCTGATATATTTTGGAGTGATACACCCAACTCCGCCACTCATACACAACCTGCAGGTCTAACAAGATGAACAGCACTAGCTGCATTACCATTTATTAGAGGTGTTGGTTTGCAACAACATCATAAACCTCAGCAGCAGCATCGCCCCGTTGCCAAAGGCTCAAATATACAGGACTTGGTTTACAGCTCAGGATGAAAACGTGTGCCTCATTTACATCATCCTCCACCTCGTCCATCAGTGAGGGCAGCGGGGGTGAAGAAGACTCATCGGATGACATTAGTTTGCACTTTACAGTGTTTGTACCGTGCCCCTCCACTTTCTGGTACTTACGTATCAAACTTGTACAATAATTTTACGGAAGTCAGTTCAATTAAATTCATCCTTGAATCTTCAGAATCAGTTTACAGTTATTAACTCATCAGAGAATCATCTACATACCCGCAAAATGTTTGACCTTTTCCATCTAAACTCATACGTCAGTTCCCCAACTTCCTAAAATAGAAGAAACATCTATTTTGAAACCCTGTCGTAAGCAGCAAAGCAGAACTAAATATGTTTCACACTTGGGTGAGGAATGGCTGAAACAAACCTCTCTGACATGCATCAGCTGATCTGAAATCTAATAACCAGAGTCACCTTGCATGAAGCTGGACCATGAGGAAATCTGTGGCCCTGAAGCGCAGAGCAGCACATACCTGAGCAGACTTAAGTTACTCCCATTCTACCCAACTGTCACATTCAGCACTGAGTGTCTGAGCTTGCTGGAAGACGAGCTGACGACAGAATGACAGTGGCAGTCTACTCAAATGTTCAGTATGTCTTAAAATGCATGTAATACTCTTTGACTCAGTGAAAACAGAAAAGCGGTTCTGTTCAACAGGGGTTCTGTAATGAACGTGTAATGTTGGAATTTTTATCAACGGGTTCGACATGGGAAAAGAAGTGCACTGATGAATTTGGATATCAAATGCGATACAGAAAAGACTGAAAATCAGTGTGGCAATGCTTTATTAATTAATCTATTAGTTGTGACTGTTAAATTAATCGCCAGCTAATTTGATAATCAATCGGTAACGGGAGTAATTTTTTAAGGAAAAACAAAAGTAAAAATCTCTGATTCCAGCCTCCTAAATGTACATTTTTTCTGGTCTGTTTACTCCTCTATAACAGTTAACTGAATATCTATGGGTCGTGGATGAAACAAGACATTTGAAAACATCACCTTCGGCTTTGGAAACACTGATTGACCATATTCTGACATTTTATAGATCAAACAATCAATTGATTAATTGAGAAAATAATCAATGGATACATCAACAACAAAAATATTGCTAGTTGCCGCTCTAGTGGTAATGGTAAAATATGACTTTAGAGACTGCAGCTTGCATAGAGAGCAATAAACACCTCATAAAACTCTCATTATGCCATGTAATAATTTCTCTCCTTTGTATGATACACTGATGCACTGGAAAGTGACCCTTAATCTCAATCCCAATACACCCCTGCCACTTTGCCCTCACCCCTCAGTTCACGTGTTCAAGTCCAGGGGTTAGTGTGAAGGGTTACATGGCTCTCCAAATGGAGGTTTTTCAGTGGCACACTCCAAACCGAGTGTTAGGAGAAATCATCGGCAACATGGCTGCGAAAGCAACAGAAGAAATCTACAACTGTATTTTCTTCGTTCATAAAAATTTAAAAAATGCACTTACTATTGTATCATCTTAGTTTAAGGACGTTTCAATGTATGTTGGTTCTTTTCTTTATAAAGCATAAAATATCACTAGTTGCATGCTAATGTTTCAGTAGGTGACTAGCTAGCTAGGTAACGATACATAATTATTGCTGATTTGTGCATGATTATCTCGCATTTTGACATTATTTCCATGTTGTATTCCCCCTCTGAAGGTGAATAGCGGGGAGATTTGAAGTCATGTGATTACTTGTTTGAATGATTGATAGCGTGAAACTTAGGTTGTTAAATTGCCATTATTGCCATTGTTGCGTCTGTTTACGTAAATGCCATCGTCAACCACCGATGACATATCAGGGTCTTTAGGAGTTGTCCACCACTACCACTTTGAACTCTGTTTTAGTGGGCAAAGGGGGGCCAAAGGGAGGTGTAGGGGTAAAAATAAGAAATGGGATTGGGCAGTAATCTCAAAGTTCACATTTGATCACTGCTGCTGTCTAAAAAATCAGCGCAATTGACATAATATTTTTAGAACATCACCATGAACTGAGTGGAAATGTTTGGATTTAGGCTTGTCACTACAACAAAACGAAAGGTATCTTTGAGATGTACTGTAGATTGGCAAATGGCTAAATTTTAAATGTCTCCCTTCGTCCTCTCAGCCTAAGATCGAGTGGTTGAAGAATCAGATGATCATCGGTGACGACCCCAAGTTTCGTCAGATCTCTAACCAGGGCATTTGCTCCCTCGAGATCCGTAAGCCCTGCAGCTTCGATGGTGGAGTGTACACCTGCAGAGCCAAGAACGCCCAGGGAGAAGCCGCCGTCTCCTGCAAGCTGGAAGTCAAACGTACGTATTTACAGACAAATGGGGGATAAAGTTTTGAGTAAGTACAACCCAAGTCTGCTGAGGTTACAAATCACCTTCTCAATGTTGTACATTATAGAAAAGAATCAGATTTACTTTCTAAGAGTTAGATGAGAACATCAGTAGCACTTTTGCTAAATATGAATCTATAAGACTTGATTTGGAGAACCTGTCATTTGGCCCAGTTGATGATTCCAGCTTCCACACCTCCAACTTATTACTGTAATATTATACCAGAATGTAAATTAAAAAAACATTATTAAAAAAACATAAATAAACTGTATATTCTTCTTTCAACAGAGATTGTTATTCCAGAGTCTGGGAAGGGCAAATAAACCAACACCCAAACCTCCAGAGGTAAGGAACACAGACAAACATGTATTCCTGTGCAAGAGAGACTGAGATTGTTTGGTGGTCTAGTGTTGTTACCAGTGGGTGCACATTTCATTGCTATATATCCTTCTCCATCTCTTCATAGATGAAATATCCTTTAATCCTTCGTTATGACTAACACTGCTCATTACTGCTTCCACACGTGAATGAGATACTGACACAGTTGTTTGAGATTCACTTTGGCCGACTGACGATCCTCACATGCCTGCTGACCAGCCATGAATTGCGGTGTTCTTAAACTCATAGCATCAAATTAAAACCAATAACAACTCATTTGTCCTTCCCCTCTTGCCCTCTTGGTTCCTCTTCATGTGTGTTCGGCCCTCTCCACCTTCTGTACATCTCGTACTGTATGTTGAGAGCCCCGCTTTTGGATGTGGTAATGTGGCAAAGATTGTCGATCAAATAGAAATACCAAATTTGCTGTTTTTACAGTGTTAACATTTCTATTTATACCCCCACTATTAGGCAGCCACATTCTGGTTTTGGTATTGGCACTCTGATTTAAGCTTTTTTAAATGCTCGAGTGGTGTAGACTTTCACGGAGTGCCAGGAGGCTTTGCTCACAGTGTCATTTTAACTGCTGACAAGAGAAGTCTTATTAGAGAGTTTTAAAAAAGCATGAAGTGGTGAGAGAGGTGGGGGAGGTGGATGCAGACAAAAAGAAGAGACAAAGAGTTGAAACGAAGACATTTGAGCCAGGAAGAATGAGACAGAGGACTAGACATGGGTAAAGGAATGCACAGGATAGTTAAAGGTTGTAAAAGAGAGAAGGCAAATGGTTTTATCTTACTGTAAAGGACATACCACTGTTTCTTTTTACGGCACTGTGAAACATTATCCCTTTACATGCCTGCTGTATATTCAAAACATGTCAGCAAGCAGCCACTTACATTATTTAATACTTTGAAGAGTGTAGGTATCTCATATATTTCCTCTTCTCATCATATATTTCCTCGTGTCATTTCTCCTCTCTGCTTACTGACTGACTCCTTAATATTAACTGGTCTAGACTAAAACCTGTGTTGACCTACACAGCATTGAAATACACATTAATTAAATGAAGGTCACTTTTCGTGAACATGTAAAAAAAAGTTTTGCTGGGAATTTTTGGTCCTGGCATTCATGTGGACTCAACTTGAGACACTCCACCCAGCCAAATACTGTTGTAGACCAAACACATACCCTCATGCCACCTGCACTGCTGATGGCAGTGGGCCCCCCCAGCACGACAATGTGCCATGCCACACTGCCACACTGTTTAGGAATGGCCCGAGGAACGTGACAAAGAGCTCAAGGCACTGATCTGGCCTCCAACTTCCCCAGACCCCAATCTGACTGAGCATCTGTGGGATGCGGTGGTATCCCATCTCACAACCCACAGGACTCAACGCCAGGATCCAATGCCATGCTACCAGACACCACAGGACACAACCCCTCAGATTGGGTCTAGGAATTTGTAGGGAAAGTCGATTCCCTGATCGCTTTGTCACATTCCTCAGGCCATTTTTGAGCAGTTTTTGTTGTGTGGCATGGAGCATTGTCCTGCTGGCACTGCCATCGGGAAGTGTCATTGCCATGAGGTGGTGTACTTAGGTTTGCAACGCTGTTTGGGTGGAGCATGTCAAGTGGCATCCACATGATTACCAGGACCAAAGATTTCCCAGCAAAACATTGTATTTTAATAAGATGATCAATGTTGTTCACTTCAGCCGCCAGTGATTTTAATGTTTTGTCTAATCAGCATATATAACCAAGTGATCCTGTTTCTCCAGGAAGTATTTTTACAATTGTAACTGGATTATTTTTAAATCAAGAAGTTGAGAAAGGGGAAGGCACCATTGCTGTTTACATGGACATTTCAGAAATAAGACTACTGCAAAAAGTGCAGAATAATTACTAACATTTTTAAAGGATAAGGCTGGTGATAATCATTTTCTTTATATTGTGAACAAATCCTTTGGAAAAAGCCAAAACGAAGTGTGTTTGTCTCTCAGTGCTTTCTGACACAATCACCCTTTCTGTGCCTCTCTGCTTAAAAGACATTTGTCTCTACCAGAGATGTGAACACTTAAAAATGGGTCAGCACTCTTATCACTGTATTGCCATGCAGAAGGAAGCGTGCATCTGCTCATGAACGAGAGTCTCATGCTTGTGACAGAGCATGATGTTAAAATTAACGGCATCCTCTTTGGCTGAACTGTAATGTTAGCTAGCTCAGTGGTGCTATATGAGCTAGCAGTAGATGCATGCTTTTCTGCACAGTGATGCTGTTGGCAGGTGTAATTCGGTAGGAACAAAATTGTTCCTATGTGAAACTGCTCTGTGGATTATCTTGAGTAACCGGGTCATGATTCCTGGAAAGAGACATCGCTGCTCAGTTTTTCAAATATATTTTTTTGCCGCTTTGAGCACCACAAGCGGAGTGCCATGTACTTCCATTATATTTGAGAGAGGGCAGACATCTCTACAGCTGATATCTCCAACACTCTGCAACTCACACCAAAACGATCTAGTCTAATAAACAGCGCTACAGGTAAGGAAAAAAATATGTATTTTTGATTTTGGGGTGAACTGTTCCTTTAACAGTTTGGGATCAGGTGTACAGTCAGAGAAAGATTGTGGTGTCATTTTGCTACTCAACCTTGAACACAAGGCCTCAGTTCTTCATCTTAGTTGTTTGACATTAGCCAATAATCTGGATGTAGTTATTGCGCTACATGCTCAATACAAAGCTGACCTTCAGCACCGTCAGGGACACATGTGTGTTCACACTATACTGCAAATGGAGTCACATGTCTGCCAGTGTGGCTTGAGTGATCACATCTTAATGCATCCACAGCGTGTTTGGATGCATTCACACCTGTATTTACAGCTGTCCACTTGTGATCACATTACCAAAGACACGTTTTCATGTCAGGTGTTAACTGCGCCGTATGGATGACGTGATCACGCTTGTTGAGTCTGTACACAGAGTGTCGTGCTGCACAGCCATAATACGAGAGAGCCCCTCAAGGGGAAAACGAGGGGTTAGGCAGGGAGCATCTTTGGGGTGGGGGGGTAAGGGGTGATGTCAACACGCCACTCCACAGCTTCTAAAAGTTACTCCAGATGATTTGGCACATAGCCAGACTCCTCACATTACCACGAGTCAACAGGCAGAGTGAAGTGCTGTGAGAAGAGGGGAGAATGGGCTAAGGGGGCAGAAACCGAGCCAGATAATCCTTGATGGAAAATATGCAGTGGATCTCACTGTCTACACGCACACACACAACCTCAAGCAAATCCACACACACTTTCTCCTGAACATTCCTGGGTGAAGTGCTTTTAACACCTCATGACCTCATTTAACTCTCTTCTTTCTTTAATTATCTTTCCACCAGTGCTTTTAAAGGACCATCAGAAGTCCAGGTCTTATGTTTTACGGTGAGTTTGTGTGAGTGTGTGTGTGTGTGTGTCATTACTTGTGTATATAATAATGTATATATAATTCCCTCCAATCCTCTCTGTGTGTCTTTCTTATCTTGTCCAGAGTGTTTGAGGAGGTGAGAGAAAAAGTCGTGGCTGTCTGTGCAGCGCTGTGTACATAATGAAGAAAGGGACAGAGCAATACACCACCATCACCCTATCTGTTTCCACCCCCAGTATGCAGGGAAGACCCACACCGCCCAACCCATCACAGTTTGCCAAATGCTGTATGTTATTTTAGTTGGTGACATGTATGTAAGGCTATATTTACTTTTTTTTCTGCCTGTGTCCATGTGCTGTTTGTTACAGTATCTATGTGTACTACTCAATAAAACAGTGAACCCTTGGACATGCTATTGCAATGACTGTATGGATGTTTAATAAAAACTGTATTTTATTACATATTATGTGGAACTCTACTCAAATTTCACACATTGCGACACATAGTTTAGGATTGATGACATTTTGTTGTGTGCATTTCTTTCCTTGGACCGAAAATGACACGTATGAGGTTTATTTACTGTTATTAATATATGTGTGCTCAGAAGCTAACGTGTTACTATGTGTTGGATAATTTGCAAAGAGGTGCTTATTGTACATATATTTTGTTTGGTAGGAAGCAACTTATGGAGGGTAAAATAGGAGTTGAGCATCAATAAATAAATAAATGTACACATAAATACGGAAGTAAGTAAGTGTATGAATAAAGATAGGTATAAATAAATATGGAAATAAATACATGTATAAATAAATACAAAAATGAATAACTAGACACAAATATAGAAATAGATAAGTACTGAAATAGAGAAATGTATAATAAATTAGGAATAAATCATTAAATAAATGTATAAACAAATATACTGTATAAATAAATGTATAAATACAGAAATCAATGTAATTTTTAATGTATTTTTTTCCCCTAATGTATAGGGGAAAAAAATAAGGAAATAAATGAGTGAATGTATGAATAAATACCACAATAGATAAATACTGAAATAAATGTATGAATAACTACAGGAATATATATATATATACATATATGTATAAATAAATAAATGTATAAGTAATTATAGGAAAAATGGGGAAATAAATGAATTAATGTATGAATAAATACTGGAATAAATAAATATATAAATTTATAAATACAGAAATAAATATATAAATAATTATAGGAATAAATAAGGAAATAAATGAATGCTTGAATAAATAGATAAAAGGAAAAATAAAAGAATAATTGAGTAAATAAGTATTAAAATAAATATACAAATAAATAGAAGCATGAATAAATAAAAGTTGATATGTAAACAGGACATCGTCTAATTAAACATCTGAAATGTATTTCTACGTTTGTACATTTACATTTATATATATGTCTATATTTCTGTGTTTTTATTTATGCATTTAATTATTCATTTACTTATTTATTTCATCTTTTTTTCCTATTTCTGTAATTATTAACGTAGTTAAACCTGTATTAATTAATTTATTTATTTATTATACTTTTTGTCCTCCATGGCAACTGATTTATCCACTAATACTCAGAGCAACATGTCACCAGGATAAAAAGGTTTATATGAATCTTTTTTCATGTGTTTTGTCAGAGACACAGTGTGCAAGGGGCCCAGGGTCAGAGGTGTGATTGGATGGTTGGATTTTCTGTGTTATACTGACACCCTATGGTGGCTGCAGAGAGACAAAACTAGTGAAAGAGGAACAGAGAGGCACCACACTGCACCTTCATGCACAACATCTCAGCCCTACAGGAAATCATACTGAACCACAAAGGGCTTGAAAACTGCAGTACTTCTAAAGTAAATCCCCCCCCTAATGGCCACCTGTCACGTCATCTGGCAACATGTAGATTATTCTAAAATGTACAAATAAAGTTTATGTAGCAGTTTCAGTGGGAATTGAATCAATTGGTATTTGCATGTCTAGAGAGCGGCTCTCAGCTGGGGACGAAAGGATGTGGCTCTGACGTTTGTGGTTAATAGGCTGGATTCAGAAAAGTGTAAAAAAAAAACCATGTAGCTTCCGCACATGTTTTCTAAATCACGTCACACCCACAGGCCACAAAAGCACGCTTGGACTGCACGAAGATAAATTAGCAACTTGTAGTTAAAGTAAGAGTGATGGATTTAGTTCTGTTTGCTTTCAGTTCTGTCTCGGCTGAATATAAAAGAGAATAGTTCATTGACTCAAATTAAAATGAGTAATTTCTTTAAAGTCATAACAGATGAGTGCAGTAAATATTTCAGATGATCCTGACTTAACCTCTTTCTCAGACACACAGTATGGAATAAACGTATATGTTTGGTAAACAACACTAAAGCAAGTCTTGTTAACACATTGGTGCTTTTTAGGTTGTTTCAATTCCCCAAATCCTCAGTGTCACTTTTCAGCAGAAATCAGCAATTCAAATTCGTGTTGAGAACAGAAACATCTGAGTGTGGTTAACCAACACACTTCCTGTTGCAACAAGCAAAAAAATGACAGCGAGAGAGAGGCAGATGTCAGAGACAGGAAAGCCGCTGCTCTGAGGTGAGTTTAGAAATTAATTTGTTGCACACACCCATGTTGTGCACAGCCTATTTCCTTTACAGAATCTCACTACACAGCACATATATGACTCAACCCCGCAGCACAGCCTCTTCATGTGCAGCCCGATGGAAAATGTGGCTTGTCAAGGTCCTCGGTGTCATATGTGAGTTTATTTTTTTAGGCAATTTCATTCATTTATTTGTGATTTATCAAAGTGTACAAAGAATATTTTCATGTACTTTGAATTGTGATCCTCACTGAATAGTCATCGTCACTTATTTTTACAGATTTGACCGCTGTTTGTGCCGCTCAGGATCAAGAAGATGGTAAGCCACAAGTTTAACCATTCACCAAAAACAACTAAGTAGTTGTGCATGTTGCATTGTTTTGAAGTTCCTACTTTTGTGCTTCTTTTAATCATTAACAGCGTTTCACATTTCCTTGTTGACCCAGGGTGTCTGCAGGTCCTTAAAAAGTCTTAAAATGTCTTAGAGTTTATAAATATTAGTCTTTAAAAGTCATTTAATAGTCTTATATTTTAATCTGTGTGGTGTAATTGCCACAAATGTTTTATCTAATTTGATTTATCCAACTTTTATTTTCTTTTTGTCAAATTCAGTCTAGTTCTTCTGTGTCAGAGTCCTCATTACTGATGTTACAAACCCTTAAACCTGTCTTTTTAACCTGTTCGCAAATGTAGATTACCTAACTCACTCTGAAAACCACATTCCTAAATAAAACTTACCTCTACACAGCATATACTCACCTTTATAGTTGCCCTTATACTTAACCTGCAATGCTTCAATAAGAAAACAATGATTTGTCCAAAAATCAGTCTTAAATTTGGTTAAAAATGACCTGAAAAGGTTTTAAAAAGCATAAAGTTCATTACCTGAAACCTGTAGACAGCCTGTGATCCACTAAACACTCCCTCTACCTCATGTATGAAGTTCAGTTATGATTGTGAACTAAACTATCTGTTATTAAATGTTTTGCTTGCCTGTACTGACGCAGAAAACAACCATGTTTAGGAAGTTAAATCATGAGGAAAGCTAACATGAGGAACATGAAGTACTTTGCAGGCACGAGTCAGGCACTTCCTTCAATTCCACACCTACAAACGCAAATTCGTATTTCAGTATTCTGTAGCTCTGTCTCTATGTTTTTACACGGTTATGTTTTTCTCAACCCTTCTGTCTGTGTCCTGTTCCTGTGTTATCTGGTAGTGTGTGTGGTGGATTAAATAACACTTGATAATATACTGTTGTCATATACTGCACAATGTGATGCTGCTAAGATATGTACAAGTTATTTTTTTGGAGAGTATCTCAGAGGTGTTTCGACTTAGACAGCAGTTATGTTGTATTAGACTGCATTCTGCGGTCAGGTGTTCTTGTAATTTTATCAGTCTCTTAGCTATTTTAATCCACATGTCAGCTCTATTATAATTATATGGGGTTTAATTTAACTGGGTATGTGTGTCTACCTGTATGGTGGTTTCCTACAAGACCACAGCAGTTCATTTAGGGCTGTAACTAACAGTTATTTTCATTTTTTATTAAGTTGCAGATTGTTTTCCTCAATCAGTCGATCGATTGTTTAGTTTATAAAGTGTGAATGAAATGTAATTCACCACTATTCAAGGGGATGTATTCAAATTGTTGTTGTCTAAACCTTGAGATATTCAGCTGCTGTTATATAAGACAAAGAAAAGCAGTATTAACCTTCACATTTGAGGAGCTGGTACCACTGAATGTTTGGCATCAACTGACAATCAAAGTTCATCTTCTGTTGTTTATTTCTTCTGTTAATCTTTGCAGCTCTAAGTTTATGTTTAAATCCTCACCTCAGATGTAGGTAGACCACACATGCATGCTGTCTAAACTCTGTTCTCCATACCTCTCCTGTCTTCCACCAGCCACCACTGTGGCCAGAGAATTTGCTCCAACTGATCCTACTCCAATGACAATGAGTATTGGAACTGTCTATGGTGAGATTTTAACCTTAGTTGTGCTGTGAACAGAAATCTAAAAAGAGGAGTGAGCATAATCGTGCAACCCTGTATGTTTAATGTGGAAAAAACGTTACTTCCTGAAATCAAGCATTCAAAAAGAAGAGAAGTGATGCAGTGCAAAGAAAATTCACCCATAATCAGTACTTATAAAATGATATTGCATCGATTGTCTAACCACAGACAGAGCAGAGTTAATCTTAATCTTAATTATATCTCTTTGACAATACGGCCTCTTAACTGCAAGTCAGCAGATGCCACCTGTTTCATCACCATGGGTGTTGTTAAAGTGTTCTCACGCTTATTTTATTTTTACCGCCTGCAGTGGTTTCCACCCAGGTGATGTCATCACTGCACTTTGTCCTCACACCTTCCAGAAGGAGTCTGTTAAAATCTGATAAATGAAACTGAACTGGTTAACTGCTTGAATAATTTATTATTTTAATATTTATTCTATTTCACTTCTATTTGTGAGCATGTGTTCTGGCATAAACTACAGTTTGTAATGTTGTGTATTTTCTAAAAAGATAGTTTCCAGTTCCTCATGTGATTCATTCTTATCTGCACTTAAAAAGCAACTTATATTTTTCTACCTGGGCCCCATTTTCCCACGATCTTGTTTCTAAGTGACTAATGGGAACAACAAATTTTGAAATTGGTCCAGTATTGAGCAAGAGCGCTGCAGCTGGCAGGCTGCAATGTAACAACATTACTGCATAAGTCACTGTCAATGAGTATTTAATTGAATAGTTTGTTTTTGCCACTGACAGGCTCAGATTGTTTTTATAAGTGTCTGACGATATTATGGAAAGGATCCCTACAGAGATAGAGCTTTTTGTTAAAGAGTAAGATCCCTGTCTTTAGTCAAAACAGCCTTTGCTGCCCCTCAACCCACCAGACTCCATTTAAATTGACAGTAACTTTATCATTGTAAAACACACTTTATTTGAAGTCGACAGAAACAAAATAAAACTCACATAGGCTGTCTAGCTGTGTATTTCCACCTTTAAAACAATCACCAACCCAAGAATGCTTGAAATAAACCCGTAATTCACCCCAGTTAGATGTATATGCTGTCTGGTGTGTTTGGTCTGGTGGGTTCGGCAATAGCAATATTCAGGCTGTTTCTAGTTAAACAGGAAGGATCTCACTCTTTGACAAAAAGGTCGACCTCTGTAGGGATCCTTTTCATAATGTTGTCAGATACTTAAAAAACAACCAGAGCCTGTCAGTGGCAAAAAGAGGTTCTTTTAGTCGATGTAAATTGACAGTGCAAACATGCCTTGAGTGGTTATATTGCAGCCCGTTCCACCGCTCACTTAATACTGAACCAATTTCAAACCTTGGCAAATTCCTGTGCCAAGATCTTTTAATTAACAGTAACATGTAACAGTAACAGTAATCACAATTTAATGTCACAACCAGACCAACCGGTGGGATCCCTGGGTCAGGGCCACTCACTGGGCCCAGGTTTAGAGTGATAGAGTATTAGATATCTGGCAAACTATACAAATATACAAGATAAGAAGTGTTTCAAGGAGCAAAAGCAAAACCAATGCCTAAAAGAGTAACAGTAGGATTAAGATGAGTACAAGTTACCGAGTAGAAAAAATACCTGAGTTTTCCTTTCAGACCAAAACTCAAGACAAGACTAGCTACAAAAAAAGATGTTCACAATCAGGTTCCTGATGCTAATAGACCTAAATGTGCATGGCTATTTCAGCAAAATGTTTTTTTATTTATACTTTTATAATCATTAATATTTTTCATACACTTCCAGTGCCTCCTGAACCATCTGTGCAACTACTGTCAGGATGGACGGAGGTGTTCCTCTCAGAGAAAGTGGAGTTCAGTTGTAATGTCGATGGCAGCTCTGACTGGACCTTCACCTGGTACAGAGATGAACAGCAAGTACAAGATTCAGATCCAAATGTGTCTATCGAGGGATCCAAGCTTACAATCACTGCAGCATCAGACGCACAATCTGGAAGTTATTCTTGTAAAGGTCATCACAAAACAAAGAGCGGCGTTATTACTGGAACTGCTATCCCAATCAAGCTCAAAGTTCATGGTAAGTTTCGTTATGTTTCATCACCTATATTTGTGCTGAATGTCCAGACAGCATGTCATGTAAAATATTTGAAATGATCTGTCTTCTCTCCGACTAGCAAACAAGCCCAAGCCCAGTTTGACTCAAGATTCAAACACTGAAAAGATGTTCCTCGGAGAGTCTGTCACCTTCACATGCAAGGTCACCGAGTCCTCTGGATGGAATTATCTGTGGTACCATAATGGAAATGAAATTCAAGCCGCTGATAGTACGGCTCATACCATAGGGTCTATAGATCATCCTGACAGTGGACGATACCACTGCAAAGCCAAGAGAGGCAAAGACCAGTTCTTTACAGAGGAGAGTGACACAAAAACTCTGCAGGTCTTTGGTAAGTTTATTTGTGAACTGTCATTACAGTATGAACACATTCATATTTACACACATGAGCCTTTATGCATTAATCTGTATCGGGGTCAGCAACCTGAACTATCCAAAGAGCAATTTCTGACCAAAAATAATTTAAAAAAAATCTGCCTGGAGCAGCAAAACATATTTGAGCCTTATAGTGACACTGCTTATTAACAGGGATGCACGATATTGGATTTTTATTTTTTTTATATTGGATATCAGACATGTAACAACTCATTTGGCCAATACCAATATACCGATATATTCACTTTTTACCCACCTAATCTTAGTGATCATCAAGTCTCTTCTGTAGTGGAATTACCATCATATTATACATACATATTCTTATTGTGATGTCCCAACATCTGATGGAGACATGAAATACAATGCTTTTCTTTTTGTTATGTAATATTCATTCATGGTGCAAAATAAGAAAAAGCCTGCTGGCCGATTCTGATAGTTCATTTTAAAACCAATATTGGCTGATATCGATGATGTGCCGATATTATCGTGCATACCTACTTATGGAGCCCGGCGGTCACACACTGAAGTCGTCGAAATCCAGTGCTTGGGCAAGGACTTGTGGCTTCAGGAACCAAGAAAAAAGGTGTCCTTTAGTGTTGGCATGATACGAGGCCAGTTGCTGTTATAGTTTAACGACATCCGGCAGCACTGGGGGAAAAACGCAGGACAAAAGTTAAGGTTGTGAAAGTCCAACTGAGGCAGTTGAAGGGGGGTGGATGGGTCCAACAAACACCGACTTTCACCCGAGAGAGCAGCGTTCATGTCACTTAACACCGTAAAGCCATACCCTGTTCTAAACCTAACCACGTGTTTTTGCTGCCTAAACCCAACCATGTGTGTTTGTTGTTTAAGGAAAAAAATGTCACTTTGCAGTGTTGTACTGACGTATTGCATTTATTCTGAAAGAGACTGTATGTAAATGTTAAATTTCCTGTGAAAACAGACGTGTATTTTGAAAGACAATGCATGTAACAGGCAGAACTTGACACATTGTCCCAGAACGTCAACAGCCAACACACCAGTGGTACCTTGCACGTCATATGTGGACATGGAAAGTCCACGAGCAACACATCAATATGTTACGAGGTCAGAGTGAGAATGTGTTGACTTATTAGGTCTAAATTAGCCTATCGACATTAAAAATAGGTCTAACTGAACTTTAAAAAATATGTTTTACCACAAGATGGCTCCTCTGCAGTGGGCAATTTATGATTATTTGCTACTTTAACATTGCAGCATTGGTGGTGAAAGCAAACAGATCTCTCCACGCACGTTTAAATTCTGTATTCTCCTCTCAAACTTTTATTTTTATGGATTATGAATCAATGGCTAGCCTAGCTAGGGGAACTCAAGACTAGCCACTGCTGTTGAGGTTTGGCAAAATTTAAAGGAAAAAGGGTGCTAGGCCTTTGACGTACGACGCCCATTTAGTAGTTGACGAAATGTTAAAACTTCTTTTGGTTGTTTTTCTTATTCAGTGCATAGGCTACACGTTTTTACAATTGGAGAATCTAAGATTTTTTTAGGCCTACAACAATGATACAAAAATTAAAATCTTTAAAAATAAATGAATAAATATTATTATTATTTTTTTATTTTTGTCGAGAGCCACTGAAGAGGGGCTAAAGAGCAGCACATGGCTCCAGAGCTGCAGGTTGCCTACCCCTGACCTGTATCTATAGTATTTTCATCTGTGAAATTTTAAGTTTAAATAGCTAATAATAATAATACACTGCACATTTATGTGTTCCTGTCTCCTATTTTTGTATTGAAGTCCATTCCTACCAAAAACAGATCATGTAAGTCATTATAATTAGAAATGTTCTTGAAAAATTGAGTTTGTATCTCAACATGAGTTAATATTTTTTTAAAAAATGAGGAGCTTTCTCAAATTATTTCGACAAAGTTTTCTATCATAATGACTTACAGGATTTTTTTTCATCGCACTGGCAGTGGAAATGGGCTTTCGTACTTCTCTGATGCAGCAAGTCACTTTATTTTGGTTTTATCTTACATTTCGTTCAACTTTTTTAAGATTTCTTCACGGTGCATATTTTCAGACCAGCCTAGACCTTCTGTGAAAATGGTGAGTCCCTGGCTGGAGGTGTTTGAAAATGAGACGCTGGCTTTTAGCTGTGAAGTTGACATCAACGATGATTGGACATACACCTGGTACAAAAATAAAGAAGTGGTACTGGAAGACATGAACACTGACAAAGTGGACTCATATCTCAACATCACTGGGATAACTCGAGCTTCTCAAGGAGACTATACCTGTGGTGTTCAAGTCGGTACCAGGAGACGCAGCTCTGGAATCAGCAACGCAACTCACATCACTGTTTATGGTGAGCTTTCATTCCACTGTGTACTATTACACAAATGTTACAGTAATTCAGCTATCTTTTGCAGATTGATAACACTCTCATAACAAGATATCACCAACACCCAGTTAGCTTTTGCTTTACACCAGACAGAAATGTCAACTTGTTACACTGTGTTTCCATCTTCAGTCTGTCATTGATATTTCACGGGGAGGGAAGTTTGATTTTCCCTAACCAATCACTAGCAAACAGCATATCAACCTGATTCTAATGTCATTTTAACTCCACACTGACTACAGTGTCAGTCTTCCATGCAGCACTGAGCAGCACAGCCAAGGCTATTCAACGAGGCCTGGGTTACCCTTTTTGACCCCATGGGAGTTATGGGGTCACATGTATGCGCAATGTAACTGGAGCTATGATGCTGGAGGGTTACAGCAGATGGTGCTTGAAATAAAGGGATGGTATCCACTTAGGTGCTCTTTGGGTGCTCTACTTTTAGCATCTTTGGGTGCTCTCGGCCTGACAAAAATACAACAGATCATTTTCATATGGAAAGCATTTTTTCATGGCCTTTTATCAAGGACTATTCAATAATTGCAGAGATGTAATTTTCACTCATATCTTTATTTTTTTTTTGCATAAAATACATTCTGACACTGATCAAACACGCCTTTGTTCTGTGATGGTGCACCAGCTATTGGGCCTTTTGCGTTCCAAGTTGCATACTTTGTCTTTTTACTTTTAGTAGGTACTACAGCTGTCCCTAAAAAGGTACATACTGTTACGTGCAGTCTGCACACAATCGGGACATACCACTTTCTCATAACATTAAGCCTTAAACCTTGACCTTCTTGCTTTTATATCTGTTACTTTGGAGATAAAAACAAACGGCACTTGTATGATGCAATTTGATGCTGTGACTTCCCCTCATTTTTATCTCCCTGACCGCGGTGCTTATTTGTTGTTCTTTATTTTAACCAACATACTGCTGTTTCATGTCTCAATGCCAGATGAATCAGCCAACTTGAACGCAGTGGAGTGGGTCGATTTGAAGGTGTGGAGCCAGGCAAAGTTAGCTTAGCTTAGCACAAAACTCTAAACAGGGGGAAACAGCCACCACTGAACAGTGATATTTTATGGGGTCTTATTATTACTGTGAGATTGCCAGACTGATGGATTTGTTATATTTTACTAGCATGACTAGCTGTTTCTCTATTTTATAATACATCCATTGTCACTCCTTTGTTTCCAGTCTGCGTGCTAAGCTAAGCTAACTGGCTGTTGGCGGTAGCTTCATATTTAATTTACTCTACCTGCACAAGTGGTATCTATCTACTCAACTCTCCAGAGTGAATCGGCATATTTCCATGTCAAACAGTTAATACCTTTTAATGTTAATATGCAACTTCATGCACATACCTCTTAATTTTGGTTGTGAAATTTTGATGTATACTTTGACCGATTCTCAGGTTTTGTGGTACAGTTTTGTGTAGCAGTAAAATGACGTGAACTGCCTCTCTGTTCTAGAAAACACACCAAAACCAACATTGACCAAGGTTCCTGCTTTTAACCCTATGTACGTTGGAGAAACTGTGACCTTCACATGCAAAGTCGATGTGTCCTCTGGCTGGAAGTATCAGTGGTACAGAGATAGACGTGTGCTTAAACACACCAGCGAGACCATCAGCATTCGTCTTGGTCTTTCTGATCAGGGGAAATACCTGTGCACAGCCACCAGAGATGAAATGACATCAACAGACTTCAGTGAGGAAATACCACAAGATGTTCTTGGTAGGTAAAAACAAGCAAAGTAATACTGTGTTTAAGAAAATGAACAATTGTTTGTTGTAGATATGTAAAAATTCACTGCAAGGTCAGGAAACGTCCATGCTGCTCTTAAATGCAGTGTAACTGAATTTTGAGAGCATCTTGCTTCCGTTATTTTATGCATTTCCTGTTGAAACAGGATGTTGTGGTGTAGCATGATGCATGAGGAATGGCTCAGAGGTGTATGTGTACATACAGTAGCAGTAAAATATCACTCAGGGAGAAAACGGATGATTTGTGTAAGGGTGGGATTGTTGGCTAGCAAAGTGAAAAAAGTCAGAATTACAAATTTTTAACAGTTCACATGCCACCGCTGCATTTTAAACTTGTTGTCCTCTCAGTGTTTAGAGGACAAAACTGACCTGCTGTTTATTGACTCAGTCCAAAGTTTTATATTTTAAGGCATTTAGGTTTTGCAGCTGTTAAGAAACTGGTCCCTGCTTCCTTCATGTTAAAACGTAAATGAGTCAGTGCTTTTTATAGTTTATCTAAACTATGTGAGTCACGGAATATTGTACTTTCAGTCGACATCATCATCATCACTGTACATTTGATGTTCAGGTTGACTTACCTGTCTAAACACATTGTAGATTTAATGACCTGTAATTAAATTGTTAATCCAAGTGGCCAATGTCAGCTCTGCTTCTGACTTTATTCTCATATTGGTGACTATAAGTCAGAGCAGATGGCGGCGACATGTGTGGTCCCTCAGGGATCCATTTTGGGAACCTTCTTGTTTAATCGCTACATGCTTCCATTGGACCAAATTATACAAAATCATAATGTAGCCTTCTATAATTATGCAGATGACAAGCGAATATACATATCACTACCACCAGGTGATTATGGACCTGTAGAATGCCTACGTCACTGAACTGAGCAAATAAATGAATTGATGTGTCAAAATTTTCCCCAACTCAACAGAGATAAGAACGACATAATTGTCTTTGGACCACAGCAAGAAAGACAGAGTGTCAGCTCCAATCCCTCTCTCTTATAACTAAGAGTCAAGCAAGAAACATTGGTGTTATCCTGGACTCAGATTTAAATTTCCAAAGCCACATCAAATCTGTGACATCATCTGACGACTATCATTTGAAAAACATTGCTAGAGTCAGAGGAATGAAAAAAAGCAAGACCTTTAAATGCTCACCCACGCCTTTATTTCCAGTAGACTGGATTACTGCAATGGTCTGTTTGTAGGACTTTCAGAACAAGCTGTTCTGCAACTTCACCTTATTCAGAATGCTTCTGCTAGGGTTCTGACAGAAACTAGGGAATATGCCCACATTACTACAGTTCTAAAATCTTTACACTGGTTACCTGTCACTCAGAGAATTTATTTTAAGTCTTGCTGCTTGTGTATAAATCAATCTGTGGCTCAGCGCCTTGAGAACATCTAGGGCCAGCCTACTGACTGTCCCAAGAGTCAGAACAAAACATGGTAAAGCAGCATTTTGTTATCAGGTAGCACAAACCTGGAATAACCTCCTAGATGATGTTAGCTCTGACTATAAACGCTTTTAAGTCGAAGCTAAAAACATTCCTTTTTTACACTGCCTACTCTACCCTGTAATGACTGCAAGCTTATTTTAAAACTCAATTTTAAATCATTATAAATATACATATTTATCTTTGCACCTCTTGTCTGCATGTTTGCCATTTTTAATGATTTTTTAAATTGTAAATTATTTCGTAATTTTACCTTTTATATCTTTTTCTCTTTACTCTTTTCTGTATCCTTTATTATGTTTTATATGTCAATGCTCCAAAAGCACTTTGAATTGCCCTTGTGTATGAAATGTGCTGTACAAATAACGCTGCCTTGCCTTGCCATATATTTAGCTTCTTATACTTTTGAGGATCTACTTTTTACTTATTATTATTCAGTATTTAAGTAGATTTGACATCTTAAAGCTTAAAGTTTAGATCAGTTTGTATCTTTTATCCTGTTTGGTAAAATCAAATACAGTCAGGTTGGGATATAAAAAGTGACAGAAGTGTCTCTCTCTCTTTAGAAATTCCCCTTCCGTCTTTGAAGCTGGAAACAAAGTGGTCGGACGTGTTCCCTGATGAGAGTGTGAAGTTGAACTGTGGGATGAACAGCATCTCTGACTGGACTTACACGTGGGAAAAAGGTGGACAGCAGGTCCAGGCTGATGGTGTTGTGTCTTTTAACTCAAATGGAGCTACCCTTGACATCAGATCTGCTGCAGCTACACACGCAGGAGAATATCACTGTAAGGGACACCTGATGGGAAGGTCTGTCAAAGGCAACTCGAGTTCTGGACTTACCCTCTCGGTGTATGGTGAGTTTTCTCTTTGGTAGATGCAGTTTGCACCCAGGTGTCTGTAGCCAACAGTGTTATTTGCATCCAGGTGAATATTCCTGGGCGTCCTCATATGAGGTCAACACATTTCCGGTTTACTTGACCTTATCTTTCGTTCTCTTTAACTTAGACCTGTTGTCCTCGTTCATGGACACTTTTTTGTGCCACCTAGTGGTAGTAAAAGCACAATACACTAATCCACATAAAAACAAGACGGCGGCCATCTCTGCTGAGTCAGTCTGCAGCTGATCCCGACACAGAAGTGGACAAGGTCCAAAACCTGATCACATTTTATGGCTGAAACTTTACTTTACTTTAACTTTATGATTAATAATGTTTGTAGCTTGATATGGCAACAAATTTGACCAATTTTAGCAACAGTAGTAAGCTAAGCCACTATTTATTAGGAACTACTCATCTGAAGATGTTGGGACTTTATTGTCGTCTCATTTGAGAACACTGGGATTTAATTATCGTTGATTATGTTCAGTTTTTTATACTTCTCAGGTCCTGCTGATCCCAAATAGCTAGTGGGAATTAAAAATGCATACCAAACAAAAGTTCACGTCTCAGGAGGATAAATATTTAACTGACTTACCTCTGTTTTTACATCTAGTACTAGCCCTAACCATGATCTGTTTGGCCTTATCCTAACCGACCTCGACCTGTCAACATGACAAGTTGTAGCCAATCACAGCACTAGGTGGGATCTATGATAATCTTTCGAGATGGGTGTAAATAGCTGAATAGCTGCAGTGTGACTATTTTCACCTGGGTGCAAAAAGGCACTCAGTTTCTTTTTTAAATTTACATATAAATACATATATTTGAAGGAAAATTTATAATATTAATGTCATATACTAATTGCAATGGCACATTTTCATATCCTTAGATAAGAAACCCAGACTCGTACTGACGCAGGATCCAGACTACAAGGTGATGTTCCCCGGAGAGTCAGTCTCCTTTACCTGTCACATTAATGTCTCCAGTGGATGGGAGTACCTGTGGTTCAAAGACGGCTCTCTACTTACTGTACCTGGAAACAAGTACTCCATCAGCTCTGTTGGATCAACAAATAGTGGTTTATATACATGTCAAGTAAAAAGAGGCACTGATCGAGTCTTCTTCACTGAAGGCATTCAGCCTATACGCCTTCAAGTTGAAGGTACGTTTCTGTTTACTTCCTTGAAACACTTATTTTTACTATGCAGGTGTTGAACGAGTTTTCCAGTTGTGTTTCTGTCACATACGATCCTATTATCTGGCTGGTTGGATGTTTTGATGAACAGTTTAATCGTAATAACTGTTGATATTTCTTCTTTGTGTATTTAGGGAACAAGCCCAAGCCTTCGATGACTCAGTCGCCAAATGCTGACAAGGTGTTCACTGGAGAGTTGGTGTCCTTCGAATGTAAGGTCGCACTCTCGTCTGGTTGGAAGTATCTCTGGTACAAAGACGAAGCACAACTCTCTATGAACAGCAGTATTTTTACCATCCGTGATGCCATTGTATCAAACAGTGGGACTTATAAGTGCGTGGCCCTGAGAGACAAAACAACGTACAGTACAGAGTTCAGTGATACTCGGGCTTTGCGCGTATCTGGTAAGTTGTGTCAGTGTGAGTTAGAGGAGTAATGCTGCCTTTATCTGTTTTTATGGATTTTATGTTATATAATGTCTTGCTAAAAATGAAATAGAAAGAGGATATATTACGGGCGCTCAGTAGCTTAGTGGTTACAGCATAAGGTATTGTCCTTGCCACCGTGGCTGTGGGTTCGATTTAGGCCCTTAGCTTGAATCAGTTCTGTCTTATAAAGGCAAAAGCCAAAAAATGATTGCCCAGATGGATATGAACATTTTAAAAAAAAGGATATATCTAAGGATATTAGAAATGGGCTAATGTGTTTGTTTCTCTCCAGAAATTCCTGTTCCAATCTTGAAGCTGGAAACGCCATGGTCAGATGTGTTCCCCACTGAGAGTGTGAAGTTGAGCTGTGACATGGACCGCACCTCCGACTGGAAGTACACATGGTCCAAAGATGGACGGCAAGTCCAGGCTGAAAATAGTGTGTTTTTTAAGTCGGATGGAGCCATTCTTTCCATCGATTCTGCTTCATCCTCACACCATGGACGATACAAGTGTTTAGGAGAGCTCAAGAGCCGGCCTGTCAAGAGCATTTTCAGTTCTGAGCAAACTCTTGATGTTTATGGTGAGATGATTTGTTTTTTTACACAGTTCTTCAACAGAACACTTTTTTAGGCATTTAGTGGCATTTAGTTGTGAGCAACCGACTAAAACTTCTCCCAGTTAGAATTTCTTCAGTGTTCATGGTTCAGGAGGTTTTTAAATGATCTGCAGAGGTCTATTTTAATCCATTACGATCAGACCAAGTTAATTAAACCAGTTAAAACACTGAATAAAGCAGGTTCATGTTATAAATCAGTGTTTCTCTGACACTGTTTGGCTCCTCAAAGATGGGCTTGAAGTCCAGCACCTGCTAAGGTGTGCTCATCTTCTTTGCTGGATAACTTCAGTTTCAGACATTCAGAATGTTTTTACCACGAGCTGAGTTGTCCACAGAGGTCTCCTCCTCTCCAAAATAAATGGACCCAGTTATTTGAATCAGTGAAAATACTGAATAAAGCAGGTTCATGTTTTAAAAAACTGTGTTTTTTCAACACTACTTGTCATGGAGGGACTACTCACTACTGTGGCCACTGTGGACACGTGAATGTCCCCATCTAGAGAAAACACAATTTTTATGTTCAGGTGATTATACACTTAAGAAAACATCTATTATATTAAATTCCATTTCGGCCAATATATCCCCCTAAATCCCACACTGTGAACCTATAAGCAAAACCAGTAAATACACCTTTTCATTTCCTTGCCAGAGATTGTGATACCACTCTACTATCAGTCCTGCCAGGACAATTAAAGACTGGAGGTACAGGTAAACAGATGGGCTCTAGTTGCATGTAAGCTCCTATTAAATCACAAATTGTCATTTTCACACTAAGGCTTTTGGACAGAAAAAACAAATGACTAATTACACGTTAAAGGTCCAGTGTTTAGGAAATAGGGGCAGAAATGGAATAAAATATAATAAGTATGTTTTCTTTACATGAAAATCAAAATATTTCTGTTTTTGTTACCTTATAATAAGCCTTTAATATCTACATAGTTTCTACAGTTCCCAGAACAGACAAACCAAACACTGGCACTAAATAGGGCCATTTGCAACAGTGCCGGAAAAACAGATTTTTTTTAAATGACATATTATCCAGTGTTTTTACTGGTTTACATCACAGGGTCCATTTGCTTTGAAGAACTGACCTTTGCAGATAATTGGACCTCCAGATGTTCAGGAGGTTTTTACTTCCTGGACATCTACTAAGGCATACAATTACATTTTTTTTTATTTTATTTTCATTTTTATGTGATTTAATGAGATGTTTGATTAGAAATGATTGCATTTTTTCTGGCATAATATACTATGACATCTGTCGTGTATTTTTCATATCAAACTTTACTGTAACATTTTTATTGTATTTTCCATGTCATACTATACTATGACATTTTTACACCAATTTTCATGATGGCATTTTTGTCACATTTGTGATGACATACTATACTATGACATTTTTGTGACATTTTTGATGACACACTATACTATGATGTTTTCATCACATTATTCTTTACATACTATACTATGACGTTTTTGTCACATTTTTGATGACATACTATACTATGACATTTTTGTGACATTTTTGATGACACACTATACTATTATGTTTTCATCACATTATTCTTTACATACTATACTATGACATTTTTATCACATTTTTGTCGACATACTATTCTATAACATTTTTGATGACACACTATACTACGACATTTTTGATGATACACTATACTATGACATTTTTGATGACACACTATACTATGACATTTTTGTGACATTTTTGATGACACACTATACTATGATGTTTTCATCACATTATTCTTTACATACTATACTATGACATTTTTATCACATTTTTGTTGACATACTATTCTATAACATTTTTGATGACACACTATACTACGACATTTTTGATGATACACTATACTATGACATTTTTGATGACACACTATACTATGACATTTTTGTGACATTTTTGATGACACACTATACTATGATGTTTTCATCACATTATTCTTTACATACTATACTATGACATTTTTATCACATTTTTGTTGACATACTATTCTATAACATTTTTGATGACACACTATACTACGACATTTTTGATGACACACTATACTATGACATTTTTGTGACATTTTTGATGACATGCTATACTATGACATTTTAGAGACACTTTTGTCGACATACTATACTATGACGTTTTTGTCACATTTTTGATGACATACTATACTATGATGTTTTTGTCATATTTTTGATGACATACTATACTATGACATTTTTTTTATTACATTTGTGATGACATACTATACTATGACGTTTTTGTGACATTTTTGATTACATACTATACTATGATGTTTTTGTGACATTTTTGATGACATACTATACTATGACGTTTTTGTCACATTTTTGATGACATACTATACTATGACGTTTTTATCACATTTTTGATGACACACTATACTGTGACATTTTAGAGACATTTTTGATGACATACTATACTATGATGTTTTCATCACATTATTCTTTACGTACTATACTATGACATTTTTATCACATTTTTGTCGACATACTATACTATGACATTTTTGATGACACACTATACTACGACATTTTTGATGACACACTATACTATGACATTTTTGTGCCATTTTTGATGACATACTATACTATGACTTTTTTTTTATTAAATTTGTGATGACATACTATACTATGACATTTTTGTGGCATTTTTTGATGACACACTATACTGTGACATTTTTATCACATTTTTGATGACATACTATACTATGACCCATTTATCACATTTTTGATAACATACCATACTATGACGTTTTAAAGACATTTTTAATGACTTACTATACTATGATGTTTTTATCACATTTTTGATGACATACTATACTATGACGTTTTTGTCTCATTTTTGATGACATACTATACTATGACGTTTTTGTCACATTTTTCATGACTTACTATACTATGACGTTTTTATCACATTTTTGATGACATACTATACTATGACATTTTTGTCACATTTTTGATGACATACTATACTATGATGTTTTCATCACATTTTTCTTTACATACTATACTATAACATTTTTATCACACTTTTGTCGACATACTATACTATGACTTTTTTGACGTTTTTGCTGACATACTATGCTATGATGTTTTTATCACATTTTTGTCGACATACTATACTATGACTTTTTTTGACGTTTTTGCTGACATACTATGCTGTGATGTTTTTATCACATTTTTGTCGACATACTATACTATGACGGTTTTTGTCACATTTTTGATGACATACTATTCTATAACATTTTTGATGACACACTATACTACGACATTTTTGATGATACACTATACTATGACATTTTTGATGACACACTATACTATGACATTTTTGTGACATTTTTGATGACACACTATACTATGATGTTTTCATCACATTATTCTTTACATACTATACTATGACATTTTTATCACATTTTTGTTGACATACTATTCTATAACATTTTTGATGACACACTATACTACAACATTTTTGATGACACACTATACTATGACATTTTTGATGACACACTATACTACGACATTTTTGATGAGACACTATACTATGACATTTTTGATGACACGCTATACTATGACATTTTTGATGACACACTATACTATGACATTTTTGTGACATTCTTGATGACATGCTATACTATGACATTTTAGAGACACTTTTGTCGACATACTATACTATGACGTTTTTGTCATATTTTTGATGACATACTATACTATGACGTTTTTGTCACATTTTTGATGACATACTATACTATGATGTTTTTGTCACATTTTCGATGACCTACTATACTTTGACGTTTTTATCACATTTTTGTCGACATACTCTACTATGACGTTTTTTGTCACATTTTTGATGACATACTATACTATGACTTTTTTTGACGTTTTTGATGAACGTTTGACAGTTTTATCACATTTTTGATGACATACCATACTATGACATTTTTTTTATTACATTTGTGATGACATACTATACTATGACGTTTTTGTCACATTTTTGATGACATACTATACTTTGACGTTTTTGTGACATTTTTGATGACACACTATACTATGATGTTTTCATCACATTATTCTTTACATACTATACTATGACATTTTTATCACATTTTTGTCGACATACTATTCTATGACATTTTTGATGACACACTATACTACGACATTTTTGATGACCCACTATACTACGACATTTTTGATGACACACTATACTATGACATTTTTGATGACACTATACTACGACATTTTTGATGACACACTATACTATGACATTTTTGATGACACACTATACTATGACATTTTTGATGACACGCTATACTACGACATTTTTGATGACACACTATACTATGACATTTTTGTGACATTTTTGATGACATGCTATACTATGACATTTTAGAGACACTTTTGTCGACATACTATACTATGACGTTTTTGTCACATTTTTGATGACATACTATACTATGATGTTTTTGTCATATTTTTGATGACATACTATACTATGACATTTTTTTTATTACATTTGTGATGACATACTATACTATGACGTTTTTGTGACATTTTTGATTACATACTATACTATGATGTTTTTGTGACATTTTTGATGACATACTATACTATGACGTTTTTGTCACATTTTTGATGACATACTATACTATGACGTTTTTATCACATTTTTGATGACACACTATACTGTGACATTTTAGAGACATTTTTGATGACATACTATACTATGATGTTTTCATCACATTATTCTTTACGTACTATACTATGACATTTTTATCACATTTTTGTCGACATACTATACTATGACATTTTTGATGACACACTATACTACGACATTTTTGATGACACACTATACTATGACATTTTTGTGCCATTTTTGATGACATACTATACTATGACTTTTTTTTTATTAAATTTGTGATGACATACTATACTATGACATTTTT